CCAGAAGCTGGAGAGTCATCCAAGGCCATCTGGTGGCTGGGGAGCTGGAGAAGTAGTAGTTGTGCAGCCCAAGATGCTGAAGCCTCTGAAAAAGAGGGATCAATGGTGCTACCCTAGTGTGAGATCCAATGCTTCTGGAAACTCCCTGGAGAATCACTGGCAGATCAGCTTTGGAAGAGTGGAGAAGGCAAAGTATGATTCCTGAGGCAGTCACAGCAGCAGTGAAAAACCCATCTGTGTAGAATCGAGCTTGCATCTGCAGCTGCTCCATGTTGTTGCAACTTTTATTTCATGCAAACCACCATCCTATTTGATGATGTTACCCACACATATGGAGGTTTTCCAGTTTGCTATCCCACATGTCAATCACTCCTAGACACAGCCTCATGGCCAAACCCAGAAGCCCCTCAATCATCAGTCTCTCTTAATCCCATCAAGGTGAAAATTCACATGAACCATCACATAGTATAATACACCCCTTCTCTCTAGCTCATAGTCTCAACTCTCTTCAACATCTTGGACTTGGTATGCAATTCTTTTTAATTATTTTTGGTTCAGTGAAGTAATGTTTGTAGAGGTATTTTGCATTTATGATCATGAGAGTAATTCATAGGTTCCTCATTTTATCAAGTTAATTTTTTTTTAAAAAAAAGGAGAGAGAATTTTTTAATTTTTTTTTTTTAAGTTTTAGTTTTTGGCGGACACAACATCTTTGTATGTGGAGCTGAGGATCAAACCTGGGCCTCATGCATGCCAGGCGAGCGCGCTACCACTTGAGCCACACCCCGAGCCCCTATAAAGTTAATTTTGATAATAATGTAACATATGCCTCCAAAGAAATTAGAAGGTGTTTTCTCTGCTTCTGCATTCTCAAAACAAATGTAGAAAATTGGTGGCAGTTCTGTAGTGTCTGGTGGCAGCCTGCAGGATGTCTAAAAGTCCTACATTTTACTTTTTTGATGGTAATGAGTTATTGAGTCAGTTTCTTCAGTAGGCACAGGCTCGTGTGTTTTGTGTATTTGTCCTTCTGTGTACGTTGTAGGAGATGGTCTCTCTGAAATTATTGGGCCACTTCCTCTAAGTTATCGGATTTGTGTCAAGTGCATGTTCATGATATTGTTGAAGAGCCCATGGATGGTAATGGTGGGTCTTTTAATTCTAATGGGTAGTTTCTGTGTCCTCAGTTTTCTTAATTGTTTATGTTATTGTATTTCTCATAGCTTTGTTTTAATTTATTTACTTTGATGTGCTGGTATGGATTCAACCCAGTGTCTCACTGGTGCTAGGCAAGCTCTCTACACTGAGCCATAACCTCACTCCTGTCCTCTGTTTCCTTAGCCACCTGTTAGTTTTTCAGTGATGCTGATGTTCAGGAAGACCTTGGTTTTGCTGACTGCTGATTTCTTTTTTTTTTTTCCTATATTTTTTTCTCACGTTTTCAAAATTGTTCATAGATCTTTATTTATATATATGTGTTGCTGAGAATTGAACCCAGTACCTCCCACATGCAGGGAGAGTGTGCTACAGCTGAGCTCCAGCACCAGCCCCTGCTGATTTCTTGATTGTTGTTTCACCAACACCCCCTCTTACCTGCCTGTGCTTAATTTACCCTTACCTTGCTCTTTTTTCTTTGCTTTCCTTAAGTATTGGGTCAAACATTGCTTTTATCTCTTCTTTTCTAAAATGTGCTTTGGATAGTGCTCCATCTCTGCTGTTTTCCATGTTGGACTTTTTAATTTCATTTAATTTCATTTTTCTAAACATGATCAAATTTACCCTTGAGTAACCTCGTCTTCCTATGTCTGTTTAGAGCCCTGTGTTGCATCTCCCATTGCTTAGAGGTTTTCCAGCTGCTTCTGATCTGATTTCGGCTTTAACTCCCCTGTTCTTTGAGCCTACTTGGGATTTCACTGGCATTGCACACTTGTTGAGGTGAAGTTTATGGTTCAGAATGTGGCCTTTTCTGGGGAGTCGTACTATGATCCTGAGAAGCCTGTGTGTTTCACTGTTGACTAATGGCCAGGGATCACAGACCCAACAGAGTTGTGGTGATGTCTCCCAGTGTAGCCATGTATTCTTCACTGTCCTGGGAAGTTTTGTATGTCTCTGCCTGATGTATTTTGACTTTGTTTCAGGTGCATGCATACTAGCAATTCAAGACAGTTACTTGAAAGTTTAGCCTAGAGTCGCCACAGTGGCACATCCCTTTAATCCAAGCACCTCAGGATTCTTAGGTAGGAGAATCAGAAGTTGAAAGGTAGGCTCAACAAGTTAGGCACTGAGCCACTTAGAGAAATTCTCTCTCAAAATAGAAATAATTAAAAATGAAATAGGGCAGTGAATGTGGCTTATTTGTTATGCACCCTTTGGTTCAATCCTTGGTACAAAATATAAATAAACAAAAAAATAAATGAATAGAAAAAAATTAATCCCAGGGATTCTGGAGTCTTATCTTTCTCAGGCATGGTCAATCTCACGTCTGGTATTTTCCATTCATGAGTTAAGTTTTCCTGTTTCTCAGTATTCTTTGTACATTTTTAAAAAGTGAATGAAATTTGTTTCTTGGGGATGGGGTTGTGGCTCAGTGGTAGAGTCTTGCCTACCATGCATGAGGCACTGGGGTTGATTCTCAACACCAAATACAACTGAAAAAAGTCCCATCAACAACTAAAAAAAAAATTAAAAACAGAAAATATATTTTTCCTTTTCTCCTATATTATGGTTCCTGTTTGTTGAAGGCTTCGTGCCTTTGCTTAGAGACTAAGTGTCTGAGCTATTTTTGGTGAATTATTTTGTGTTCAGATCCTTTGAAAGATTTCCCTGAATGCTAGATCAACCAACAGAATGGAAACTTTAGGAGTTTCAGAGCTGACAGGCTGTGGATTTGCAGACTGACACCCAGCAAGCTGTGTTCTCTGACATTTCACCATGAGGGCTGGCCACAGCTGCAGGTACCTGTAATGCAGTTGGAGAAGCAGCCAACAAAGTAGCAGAGAAAGAACAATCCCTCTTCAGGTTGAGCATAGTAAAAGTCCCAAATGTGTATGAGTCTTTAGGCCATTGGCAAGCTTGTTCCCATATAAGAAATAAAAAATTCACTCTCCAATATATTGCCCCAATTTCCTTTTTAATGTCCTCAAAACTTGTTTATGTATAAAAGTAAAAGCCCAGCTGTGCTCAGGCCTCAGGCTTTAGGAATTTTTTTTGGGGGGGAGAGATCTAAGGTGTCACAATCAATTATTGCTACCAGATTTCAGTGTCCCTTGGTCTCATTTCTCCTTACACCTGAAACTATAAAAGAACAGTAGAAACAGCAAAACCTCACTTGTCTGGTTTTTGTGAGTAGTTGTGCTGGGGCCTGTGCTTTAACACACAGTGGTGCTGTTTAAAACTCTGCTGTGCCTTTTCTCTGCAGATCCCCACCTGGAGAGCATCCAGTGCTGAGCATGTGGGTCATGGTCTTCTTTTTAATGTTTCCTCCTGGTCTGTGTGAACTTCCTTCTTTTCTCAGAATATCTTGGTGGTTTTATTTGGGGGAAGCATACTGTGGAGTGAACCCTCAGGTGCTTCACCACTAAATCAATTGCCCAGAACCTTCCCCCTTAACTTTTATTTTTGTTAACTTTCATTCAGGATTTTGCCAACTTGCTTAGGGCCTAACTAAGTTGCTAAGGCTGGCACTGAACTTGTAAGCCTTCTGCCTCAGGTTTCTGAACCTGGGTATTTTTGAGACCTGATTTCTAAAAGAATTGTCAAATTTCAGGTGATGGTTGAGTGGGTAGACAATACTTTGCTTTCTTGCTAGATGGAGGCTGTTTGTTTACTTAAATCCTTTTAAGGAATATCTGCTGATTTTTTTATAGTGATTACTTCTGATGGAGAAGAGTGAGAGTTGGTTTTAGGCATTAATATATTTCCATGGCTGAGCTGGAGTTGTGGCTCAGTGGTAGAACACTCACTTAGTACATGTGAGGCCATGGGTTCAATCCTCAGTACCACATGACCTTATGGTAGTGAAGTGACTGCTTTTCAGTAGGTTATTGACAATTCTTGTACATTCATTGTTGCTGTGAGATTTAGAAATTTGTGTCTGCTTTTTATTAAGAAAACTGGTTTGAGACTTACAAAACTGCAAGGTTGTTGTTTGGACAAGGTGACATCTTTGGGTCATTGAGTTATATGTAAGACATGTTCCATCTTTCAACTTACCTCATTCTGCTTTGACAGTAACCTTAAGAAATCATTAAATTTTTGTGTTTATTAAGCATTGTGCATGTTTACTATTTTATTAATTTTTTAATGGAGAAATGTACCTGTAAACATCTAGTTGTTCTCTTCTTGTAATCCCATAACATGAACTCAATCCCTAGTTCACAAATTGTGGCGACCTGAGTGTCAGGTTGTCTAAATGTTGTCTGTAGGGAAAGCTTTTTTGTGATCCATGCTCAGAAATCATGGGTAGAGACTGTTCTAGGCATTTCCTTAAAGAAGGAACAATAGACTTTCAGAAAGAATCAAGAGATCAGTGAATGCAGTGTTGTCTATATTAACTATGTAGGCACACTGACCCACTGTGGTTGGTAGAATCTCTCTCAATTGCTGAGTTCTGTGATTGCAACAATGTCCTACTCAGTCAGCATTCTTTCCTAAGGGTAAGTACTATTGGGGATGCTAATATTAGCTCTCAACTTCCGAGAAGGTTGTTAGGACATGTAATAGAGGTGTAACCAACGAAGTGACCCAGGATCCTGTGTTACTTCCTGTGAACTCACCAGTGGAAGGGAGAAAATCACTAAATTGCTTGCCTTCTGAGTGGCCCAATTCTACTGTTGAAATGTTTGTGAGGAATTGAGTGCAGAAGAGTTTTGTTGGACCAAATCATGGAATTAATCAGAAGTTCAGAGAATCATGTGAACATCAAGCTTGTTGAGTACATATTTCTTCTGCTGTGAATCTGTCCTGACCTCCAGTAAACATTTGTGGGATATTTTAGATCTCAGTGACCTTTGAGGACGTGGCTGTGAACTTCACCCAGGAGGAGTGGGCATTACTGGATCCTTCCCAGAGGAACCTTTACAGAGATGTGATGCTGGAAGTCCTCAGAAACCTGGGTTCTATAGGTAATAATGATGGGTTTTTTTAAAAATTAATAGAGAACTCATGTTTATTTTGGTCATTTATATAGAACATGAAAAGGGAATCCATTGTTGAATTATTGCAGCATAAAAGGCACCTACAAGTTTGGCAAAGCATTTCTGTCTCCTAAAAATTCATAAAGATTGTTCTGGTTTTTCATTTTAGAAAACAAATGGTATGAAACAAACATTGAAGATGAGATCAAAAATTCTGAGATCATTCTAAGGTAATTGTACTCACAAGAGGAGTTCTTGAGGGAATTTGAGAAAGTCATATAATTTTTAAAAGAGACCAACCTAAGAAGTATGCATAATTTGAAATGTCTTTATTCTTATAAGATTTTTTTTTTTACTAGAAATGTATACTTAACTGTAACAGATATTCAGTCTTTGACAAGTACTTGGCATGCCAAAAGTATATGAAATTGCATGTGAATATCACTATTTGGACAAATACCATAGGGAAGCTGCATTGCAAAGGATTATTTCCTTTGGATACCTTGATTTTCAGGCAATTTGAACACATCAGGAAACCTAGCCTTTACCTGATGTTGGTACTAATGTAAGCCTAGGACCCATAAATAAGTATAAAATCATGAATGAATCAAGCATTGATAATGTTCTGGTCATTCTTCGAAGAAGCCATGTGGTAAACTTCAACAGCCAAGAAGATAGTATGGGGAAACTTTCAATGAGATTCCAGTACTTAACTGGACAAAGAAAAATTTTAATAGAGTAAGTCCATGTGGTTGTTATATGTGTGCCAAGGACTTCATATGCGCTTCATTCCTTCATAGGCACATCACATCTCACTCTGGACACAAATGCCACAAGCATGAGGAATGTGAAGAGAAGCCATGCGAATTTAAACAGCACAGGGAATCCCTGGTTTCTCTCAAAAGTGTTCACACACAAATGTTAATACAAACCGGAGATGGACCCTATGAACGTACAGTATGTGGGAAAGTCTCCAGTTGTTCCAGTGACATTCAAAGGCATGAAGATACTCATACTGGGTGGCAACCCTATGAATATCAACAATGTGCTGGAGCCTCTTCTTCTCTCCCAGATGTTCAAAGACACATGAGAACACACAGAGGAGGTAAACATTTTCAATGTGAGGTGTGTGGGAAAGACTTTTATTTCTCCTCTTTAGTTAGAAGACATGAAAGAATTCATTCTGGAGAGAAACTCTATCACTTTAAACAAGGTGGTCAAACCTTTATTTCACACACAAGTCTTCAAAGGCACAGGAACACACACACGGGGAATGCACATTTTAAGCGTAAGGTATGTGGGAAAGACTTTGCTTATCCCAGTTCACTTAGAATACATCAGAGAACACATACTGGAGAGAAGCCCTATGAATGTAAGCAGTGTGGAAAAGCCTTTGCTAGATCCAGTGAACTTCGCATACATGAAAGATCTCATACTGGAGAGAAGCCCTATGAGTGTAAGCAGTGTGGCAAAGCCTTTTCTACATCCAGTTACCTTCAGATTCATGGAAGAATACATACTGGGGAGAAGCCCTATGAATGTAAGGAGTGTGGCAAACCCTTTGCTAGATCCGCTGACCTTCAGATTCATGGAAGAACGCATACTGGAGAGAAGCCCTATGAATGTAAGCAGTGTGGCAAAGCCTTCAGTCATTTCTCTGCCCTTCACTCACATAAAAAAATTCATACTGGAGAGAAGCCTTATGCATGTGATCAGTGTGGCAAAGCCTTTGCTAGGTCCAATACCCTTCACAGACATGAAAGAATACATACTGGGGAGAAGCCCTATGAATGTAAGCAGTGTGGAAAAGCCTTTGCTTTTTCTAGTTACCTTCTCACACATGAAAAATCTCATACTGGAGAAAAGCCCTATGAATGTGAGCAGTGTGGCAAAGCCTTTTCTACATCTAGTTACCTTCAGATTCATGGAAGAACACATACTGGGGAAAAGCCCTATGAATGTAAGCAGTGTGGAAAAGCCTTTGCTAGATCCACTTCCCTTCAGAGTCATGGAAGAACGCATACTGGAGAGAAGCCCTATGAGTGTAAGCAGTGCGGAAAAGCCTTCACTCATTTCTCTGGCCTTCATGCACATAAAACATTTCATACTTATACATGTAAGCAGTGTGGCAAAGCCTTCACTTGTTCCTCTGACCTTCACTTACATAAAAAAATTCATACTGGAGAGAAGCCTTATGCATGTAAGCAGTGTGGCAAAGCCTTTACTGCATCCAGTAGCCTTCAAAGGCATAGAAGAACACATACTGGGTAGAAGCCCTATGAATGTAAGCAGTGTGGCAAAGCCTTTGATAGTTCCAGTGAACTTCAAAGACATGGAAGAACACATATCAGAGAGAAGCTCTATGGTTGTAAACAATGTGAAAAAGCCTTTGTTACATCTGCTCAGCTTCACTTACATGAAGCAACCCATAGTGCAGAGAAATCATACTCATGAAAACAATTGGCAAAGTCTTCTGTTAATAAGGTTTCACTAATTAACATGTAGTAAGTTTTCTGTAGGAAAATTCTTTGAATGTGGTAAATCAATGTTTCTTGTTCATTTCAACAAGTAGATTCAAAAATGTGAGCACTTTCTATCTATCTATCTGTCATCTATATCTATCTATCAATAGTACTGGGGATTTAGTCTGGTGGTCATCTATCACAGAGCCATGGTGAAGGCGGTCTCCCACTCACTGTCTTGACAGGGTCACAGTGAGGATGAATGCTGGCAAAGCTGCACTGGTTGATGGGAATCAGAAAGCATGAGACCCTTTTGTATATAATTGGGACTTTTCATTTTCATGCTTATGTTTCTGACAGGAGGCATGAGTATGTTAAATGTGAAACAAATTAAATTTCAGATGGCTAGAGCATAACAGGTAGTTCATGCCTTGAAGGCTGTTCTACTGCCCCTCAGCATATCAAGGACAAAGTAAAAGGCTGTTCTTCTATCTCAGTACATTCAGGACAAATGTGATATTGGACAACAATCATCCTCTGAAAAATCACGAGTATTTTAGGCACCACATCGATTATATCAACTAGAACCCAAGCTCTTAGAAAACCTAATTATGCTTATTTTTCAAAGCCCACCAGATGTAGTCTCATTTTTGATTGAGGAAAGTTATATTATACACTTAGGAAAGTTAAAACATAAAGGTATATTTTCTTTTTATAAACCCTTTTTTACTTTACATAGGGATTTATGATGAACATAGTTAATATTGGCAGAAAGTGCACTGATGTTTAGAACTTACTTTCTATTGAGAATGATTATAAAGATAAGAGAACTAGTGCACCTTGACTGAGAAACAAAGAAACTCTTTGAGAAAGCAGCTCAACCAGGTTTATGAGAATAAATGTAGGAAGTAATTAAAGTAGCCTTATAAGATATATTTTTAGAATAATGTTAGAAATATTATCCTATTTAGACTTTGGGGTTTAGAAATTCTGAATTTTTTAGTTGTATGGGTTTCTGATATATTTTAAGAATGATTTATAAACTTTAGGATATTTTAAGTAGAAGATTTAAGGGGACTTTTTTAGATGAGAATTTTAGGTTAGAAATAAAGTAAAGGTGTACTTTAAACTTAAGGGTTAATGATAGGTTTGGAGACTTAGAGTCTGGTTTCGTAGTTTGGCATTAGTCAATAAGAAAATAGTAAATCTTGGGAAAATCCGAAAAATGTAAATTAGTGATGCATTTTATTAATGATTCTGTACTTTTAATAATTAAATAACTAAAGGTCATATCCTGGAAAAATGGAAATTAATGTTACATTTTTTATATCCCTAATCATGGTTAAGGAAATGTCATGTCTTGGCAAAAGATTTAGATTGTATAATCAATGGCGTATCTGAATCTATAATGATGAGAAAATTTGCAATGAAAGATGACCCATGGGGCTGGGGATGTGGCTCAAGCGGTAGCGCGCTCGCCTGGCATGCGTGTGGCCCGGGTTCGATCCTCAGCACCACATACCAACAAAGATGTTGTGTCCGCCGAGAACTAAAAAATAAATAAATATTAAAATTCAAAAAAAAAAAAAAAAAAGATGACCCAGAGAAAGCTGCATTAGAGCTCTCTCTCTCTGGAGATTTCTCCAATGGAACGACTCCTGTCTCATCTTTTCGCCGACACCACTCATCCTTCAGGACCCCCTGGACCGGGATGGCAGGACAAGAACAGGATCAAGTCGCCCTTTTCTCTACATGCCCTCCCTAGTGCAGTGCTTTCGTCCTCACTGTGCAGTGCATCTATTGATTTCTTTGACTTTTCTCACAACATTGCTGCCCCCTGCTTTTTCTCAAAAATTAATTATGACTTCATGACCTTCTCAACTTTTGTGTCTAAAGTTTGCTTACACATTGTGCATGTGAGTTGAGGCCTGTGCACTCCAGCATTCTGGGCAGATTGGCTAAATGTCTCTTTGTTCCTCCTTTGCTCCCTTCTTTCCTTCAGATTTCACCCAGGAGTGCTCCACACTGAGCTTCCCCCTAGCTCTTTTATTGTTATTTTTTGAGATGTGGTGACGCTGGCCTCAAATGTGTGGTCACCCTGCCTCAGCCTCCTAGCAGCTGGGACCATAGAGATGTGCCCTTTTGTGCTCTGTGACTGGCCTCTTCATTTTCATTGGGACCACCACTGTGTCACTCGTGTTTCTTCTAAGTCTCATGTGTTGTGTTGTAAGTAGGCACATTAAAGGGCATTATAAAAGTTGTAATTTGTATGTATTGTTAGGAGAGGCATCTTCTCAAAATATACTTTGCCTTGTACTTAATTGAGTTCCTTTCTATTTCTTTTCTTTCCCTGGTGCCAGGGACCCAATCCTGCCTTGTGCCTGCTAGACAGGTGCTCTAGCACTGAGCCCTCCCCTAGCTCAGGTGGTGCGTTTGCTGCTGCTGTGTGTTTAGACCCCACTGAGGACCACTTTGGTAGATGCAGCTCTGCAGGTTTTTCCCTTGTTTTCACCTGGTCCCTTTCTTAAACATCTTATACAGCAGGGAATTTCAACCAGTGACATCCACCTTAGTTTTTCTCCCTATGACTAATACTTAGGTGGAATATGCCAGAAAACCCAGGCTGGACTTCTCTCTGAGTTCAGGGAACCTCCGTAGCCCCGAGAATATCGTCTGATGCTTTTCTTCATACACAGCCTGTGATCAAAACTAGGTAAGGAGGGCCCCAGTCGGATGTCCTAATGTATTGGTGTCCCCTTCTGCACCTAAGAATCTTAAATAAGCTTCTCCAGAGATCCTCACCATAATATTCTTTAAAACAAATATCAGGAAAAGGTTTTGCAAAGATATCAATATGTGTTAGAATGAAGATGTGATGATGTTACTTCTTTTTTGGTAAAGCTTGGAAGATTTCCAAATAATCTCAAAAATGATTAAAAATTCGCTTTCTTTGAACAATGAAAAAAATTTTATGTATACTCCTACAAAAATAAAATAAACCTCCACCCCGTCCCACTGGGTGTAAAGATAATGAAATTCTGACATCAAGGTCCAGAAAATTTTAGGTGATACCCCTCTGCACCCTGCCACTAATAAGTCAGCGCCCTGAATCTTCCTCAGGTGTCCAGCTTCATCTGCCCCACATCACTTATAGAGCCTCAAATGGCAAAAGATTTCTCATGGTAGCCAGGAATTTTTCTTTCAACATTAACAGCAGGGTCTCTGATGGGATTCAGGAGCACTGGTTTCATGGTTCCTAGACACTTTAGAGCTTCCTTACCAGCAGTCATGACCCAGACCAAATCCACAGTGTGTGCAGCACCCGGGAGGTGGTCACCCTTCATGAAGACAATACCCTTCTTGACCCTACAGCCAATAAATTTCCAGGAGTCTTGCTTGCCAGTGCTTGCCCTGTGCTGCAGGGGATCCTGCATATTGGTATGAACTTTTGGGTGTTCTTGCTGTGCTCTGCTGGGGTCATTGTGCCCAGGAGGCCTGGACACCACTGTTCCTGGGGTCTATTAATGACTGGAGCAGGAGGCACTTGCATGGATGCCCATTTACTGCTGGGTCTGATGAACTTCCTGGGCCATGACCACCCAGTTGTGCCTGGATCTGCTCTCCACTGTCTCCTCCTTCCCTGCACTGCCTGAGCTCAGAGTCCCCTCAGTTCTCCACACTCATGTTCCTCTTTCCTGATGGCCTTGGTGGCCACCAGGGAACATACTCCCTCTCAGCCTCATGGGCTCCCATCAGACCCCTCTCAGCACAGGGTCACCATGGTGTACACCGCAGGTTTCGCATCTCCCCCTTCTGTGGAGTCTTGGTACACTGGGCCCATGGTCAACCTGGTCTGTGCCGCAGGGTGGGCATCTCCTCCTGTTCCCTGGAACCCTGGTACACTGTGCCCCTACCCTGGGTACCCTGCAGGGAGGACAGAGGGCCTCTAGCAGAGAACCTGGGTTCTGATCTGCTGTGATAGTGTGATTTAAGGACCTCCATTGACCTGTCCTGGGCCCACCCAGGGGAAGACTCTGCAGGGCTCCCTGGATGTATTCTGCTCCCTGGAACATGCCCCCAGGGAGAACTGTGTGTCATCTGTGAATGGTCCTAGGTCCTAGGATGAATGTCATTTGGGAAAGGGCCAGGAACACACTGTGCTCAAGAAGAGACCAGCATGGAACTTCCCAGGGAGGCATGGCACCTGTCTTTGGGTGCCCACCTCTCTGAGTTTGCAAAGGACAGATGAGGCTCACCCTGGGCAGTTCCTCTTACAGCCCTCCCCCACCTCAGCTGTTGTCGAAGCAAAAAAGGGCCCCCAGATTTTGAATTTTGACTTTGGCCTGGGGCTCTGGCACACAGATACCTTGCTGATTTCACTTTCGGGGGATGATGAATGACAGATGTTGAACAGTGATTATAAACAGAGGCTGCGTGAGAAGCTTTTGTCCAACCAGGAATGAGGTGGGTTCTGAGCCCGCCAGAGGCAGTCTGGGCTCAGCCAGGACCTTGGGTGGGTTGTGGGTGAAATGCACACCTGCTTGGTGATATTATCCTCTTAGAGTGGGTTATGGGGACCCCTTGTCACAATAACTCTTGTGGTTACATCACAGGGCTTCTTAGGAAGATGGATCCCAACAAAATTACGTTTGAAGGAAGAGATGACCGATGTCACACACAAAGGCAAAGTTTTTGGCTTTTTCTTATTTTTTTTTTTTGAGGGGGGTTAAGCAACCCATGGGGCTTGTGTGCTTTGAATATCCCATCAGCATTCACAAAGGGTGCACCTTGAATGTCCTACCACTTTCTCAGGTGCAAAATTCAAAGAGAAGATGAAACACTTCACCTAAGAGCTTTTGCAGTCAGATGTGCAAAAATTGAGAATCTCACTATAGATATGAAACCCAAAGGCAGTGACCCAGCCCCTAGAGCTCAAGGAATTCCCCCACGGACTGGCAGATGACAGGTGCTAGTCTCTTCCCTTCTACCTTGGAGGAGGCTGCATCTGGTGGGAGCTAAGCTATAGAAGCTCAGACCTTGTTCTTCATGCACCCAAAGCTGACCACCTAGTGGCCCCCATAAGGACAGTTTTGTTCCCCTGAGGACAACCGGCAAAGTACAGAGACACTGGGGGTGTCCCACTTTGGGATGTGGTGCTATTGGTGAGCAGCAGGTAGAGACCAGAAATGTTCAACATCCTACAATGCACAAGATGGGCCCATCACAGAGAGTGATCTAGGCCAGTGCACCAGTAGGACCAACGCTAAAGTACCCATCCTTAGCATGAGAATCTGTCAGTCCTCCCATTCATCCAGCCAGCTAGCCCCCCATCCAGCCAACCATCCATCCGCCCATCCATCCATCCATCCATCCACTCACCGACCCACCCATTCATCCACCATTCAACCATCTACCCATCCATGCATCCACTCACCCACCCACCCATTCATCCACCATTCAACCATCCACCCATCCATCAATCCATCCATTTATCTATTCATCCATTCACCCATCTGCCCATCCACCCATTCATGCATCCATCTATCATCCATCTATCCATCCTCCCATCCATCCATCCTTCCATCCACCCCCACACCCACCCAACATCCATCCATCCATCCATCCATCTATCCATCTGTTCATCCATTCACCCATCTATCCAGGCAACCAACTATCCATCCATCCATCCATGCATCCATGCATCCATCCTTCCATCCACCCATCCAGGCAACCATCTATCCATCCATCCATCTCTCCATCCATCCACCCACCCACCCATCAATCAAACGCTTGGAGGCATTCGGTGATTTCGGCTCATAGGTCTGCAGAAGCCAACATACAAGGAGGAGAAGAAACGTGGAGTGCTACTGCTTGAGCCACATCCCCAGCCCTTAAAGATTGTTTTTTTTTTTCAATTCCAATTCATCCTGAGGATAGTCCACGTTTTGCATTTACTATCCCTGCACTGAATCATGAAGGTCCTGATCAGAGATATGAATGGAAAGTTCTCCCTCAAGGGATGGAAAATGGCTCAACTATGTGTCGAATTTATGTTAACAAAGTAATCTAGCCACTTAGAAATCAAAATCCTGAACTACAAATATTTCACTATATGGATGATGTATTATTAGTACACAAAGCTAAAAACACATTGCTAGAATGTTATGCCACACTGACAAAGTTATTAAAAAATTATAATCTAGAGATAGCAATAGATAAAGTACAATTAAATTTTCCAATTA